AAAAAAAAAAAAATTCCAAGCGCTTTTCCTCTGGAGAGCACCTTTTGTGCCGCGTTTCTTTCCCCGCAGCAGCACCGCGCAGTCTCCCGCGCTCGGGCCTGCGGGGCCGCTCGGTATCGGACCCCGCGCCCGCAGCGGCGCTGCCCAGCCCGGTACCTGTCCTGGCCCCGGGCCGGCCACCCCGGCTGCCCCGCTGGCCCCGGCGTGGCCGGCTCCGCATTGCCGCGGGGGCTGGTCTGCCTCACCCCTCGCCCCTCCCGTCCCCTTTCCGCCGGGGTTTCACCCGCTCCCCCTCCCAGGGATTTAGGCTCCAGTTGTTCTTTCTACACGCGAGTGGTTCTGCCGAAAAAGTTGCAGCAAATGGGTAATTTGATTATTCCCACTATAGGCCAACTGCCTCAGCGGCCTTCCCCCACGCGTCTGGCTGGAGGCAGAGAAACCATCTCCAAGGAATAATCAAATCAAGGCGAAGTGTGGAAAAACCCCTTCTGATTTCCAGGCGACGCAAATAGAATTATAGCCTCCCGTTTGTTTCGCCCCCTCTTTTCTTTCCCCCCTTCCAGAAGAGCCCTTTTGTCTCGATCGTGAACTCTGGCCCAGCCGGGCAGCGCGGGATGCGCGAGATGCGCGGGGTGCGCGGGATGTGCGGGATGCGCGGCGGCTGGAGGCGCGACGGGGTCGGGTGGCGGAGAAAAACACGCCAAGTATTTAAAAGCCACTTTTCTTTCCTCTCCTTGAGCACTGAGAGGGGCCCGGTCCGCTCCCCTCAGGCTGCGGGAGGAATGCTCGGAGGCAGCGGAACAAAACAGGGAACAGCGCGCCTTTGTACGGCCGCCGCCGACCATGGGAAAGCGCCTCCCGGGCCCGGCTCCGACCGTGCCGCCACAATCCCACCAGCCGGAATAAAATGTTAAATACGGACGAGGGTTTCTTTGGCATTGCTTTATTCGGAGGGAGCGGCCAGAGCAGAGAGAGGCCCGGAGCATCCCACCGCACTGCGGCCGATCCCCTGGGGTGCGCGCCTCCGCAGGACGGGGCGCGCAGTCCAGCGCGGCCGCGGAGCCCGGCCCCTCACCGCCCCTGCCGCCGCAGCGCTGCGGAGCCGTGTCGGGTGACAGGACCGGACGGGCCGGGGGCAGGTGTTGACTGTCCCCCGTCGACAGAGGGACAGTGCGGCAACATTTTCCTGTTCCCGGCGCGCCTCGGGGCTACCTGCCACGCCCGAGAGAAAAAAAATCCCACTTTTTGTTGTCCCTGCTGCCCCGCTCCAGGGGCTGCTCAGGCTGGGCTTGGTGGCCCTGCATGGGAGCAGGGGGCACTGGCACTGCCCTCCCTCTCCGAGCTAGCTTAGGATGTCGGGCCGCAGGATGCATTTTTGGCTGGTCTCCTGTTGCCTAACCGGTTAGGAGGGGGGGATTTGCAGGAGTAATGATGATGGTGAGGAAGAAGTGAAGAAGGAATAATAATAATAATAACAAGAAAAAAAACAACAGTAAAAAAAGATAATAATAGTAATAATACCAACAACAATAATATCAATAATAGCATTAACATTAACAACGACAACGACAACGATAACGATAATGATGATAATAATAATAATAATAATAATAATAATAATAATAATAATAATAATAATAATAATCCTTTCTTGTAGCTCCGGCCGCGACCCGTGCGTTCGGGTGGCGGCCAGCAGAGGGATCTGCGCTTTGCTTTTGAGCTCGGTCGCGGCGGCCGCGGCGGCGGCAACATCTGCTGGGCTGGAGGAGACGGGGCGATTGAGCAGACGCACAGATGTAAAAGTGACATCTGCTTGTGACAAAGGAGTGGGAATTAGATTAGGCGGGGAGGCCTTTCTACGATTAGGGAAAAAAAAAAAAAAGAAAAAAAAAGAGAAAAGGAAAATACTAGCTGCAGATTGTGTAAGCAGGGAAAGAGGATATGAAAGACAGACATGCTTGTTGGGCAGCTGTTAGGACATTCAGGGCAGCACAAGGGTCCTGGGAGCTGAAATAGCCCTAAGAGAAGGCTTTGCTTTTCCCCCCAGAAGCAGGGATGTGGCCGGGTCAAAGCTTTCCTTCATTAGGAGCAAAGGACAGTAAGCAGCAGGGCACCGTGGAGACTCGGACACCAGCAGAGAAGCCTTCCTACTGCTCCTGACCAACCAGGCAGAGAGACTGAGATCCGGACACTTCTTTTCTTTGTTCTCTGATGGAATAAATACAGGGAGATTCGTACACCCAAAAGTAAGACAACAGGAGACCTTGCTTTTTCTTGCCTTATCTAATTTTGGTTCCATTAATTAAAAACAACAACAACAACAAAAAAGAGCAAACAAAAACCACAATTCACAACCACAAGTTTAAGTCTGGGATTGTTTGGTAAAGCAGAAGCCCTGTTTTCTAGTTCTTGTCCAATCCCCTGCATTCAGCTGAGACTTCACCTGCACCAGCATGCACTGGTTAGTGAGAAGAAAAACACCTCCCACATTTCAAATGCT